TCAAAAAAATTTTAACATATGATGGTCATCAAAACAAGGTTGGTTGTTGGCCGTCGCCTGAAGGGGTGAGGGAAACCCAGGAGCTCCACTCCAAACACCGAATGCACAGAAATGAGCTCCCCGATCCCTGCCGGAAGTCCTTTTTATACATGCTTTTGCAACCAGCAGCCAATCAGAACAGGGAATCACGCCAGTATAGGAGCCTATAAGACAACAGAAAAACAACAAGGAGGCGGGACAAAAGAAAAAGACAAAGTACAATCCGTAATAATAAACAAATAAATAAACTTCAGTCGTAACAGGGCCCATCATTAAGGCGATTTATTCTTATGCGTCAAGCGCACGCGTACGCTACGTTGACGCATAGCCCTTCGCCTGACGTGCACCTCTCAAAAAATGTAACTACACGTCGCACTGACACGTAGCGCATGCTCTGTGATTGGTCGGCTTGGTAGCGCTGACGAGTCTGGGAGGCACAGAGAACCCGATGGAGCGATTGTTTACAAGTGTGGAGTCCCGTGAAGGAGCTCCGGATGGAATGTTTTGCTTTGTGTTTACCTCATAGTTAAAGTTGTTGCACGTCTGCCGGTTCCTGCCTCAAAATTAAAAAAAATTAAAAACTTCTTTTATTTTAGCCGAAATAAAACAAATAAGACTTTCTCCAGAAGAAAAAATATTATCAGACATACTGTGAACATTTCCTTGCTCTGGTAAACATCATTTGGGAAATATTAAAAAAAGAAAAAAAAAATGCAAAGGGGGCTAATAATTCTGAGTTCAACTGTATATGAAAACACAGAACTTTCAGTTCTTGAATGTAAAAATGCCTAAATACAAGTGTATTTGCAAGGCCATTAAAATATTTTGTTCATCTCTAACTGTTGATAGCAGCAGAATGATCGCAGCTCCGGACAGCTGTTGCTTCTGGAGAGCACAGATCGCTCCAACTCGCACACATCATTTACCTCTTCACGGGTTTAACCGATCCACGAATCACAGCTCATTATGTTAGCTGACCAATCAGAGCCTCATGAGGGCGGGCATTTCAGAGGAACTAGGATATATGACAGTCGTTTTCATGTTATCCGAGTAGCTGTATATAATCAAAGTAAGATATATGAAAAATAACCATATTTTCTACAAATGAAGCCTGAGCACACATTGCTTTGCATCTTATAAACACAACCAAGCCTTAAAAATACTCTGTGGACCACCTCTTTAAAATCTAAAAGAACCAGGAATATTGGTTTGCATGCACATTTGTGTCAAGAGATGAAATTTGATTTAAAAAAAGTGACATAGTCATACTGAAAAATGTGGCACTATTTGGCAACCCTTCCTCTTACACTTTAAAAATAAAAATAATAAATAAATAAATATGTGTAGACGAAGCAGTGGCGCAGTAGGTAATGCTGTCGCCTCACAGCAAGAATGTCGCTGGTTCGAGTCTCGGCTCAGTTGGCATTTCTGTGTGGAGTTTGCATGTTCTCCCTGCGTTCGCGTGGGTTTCCTCCGGGTGCTCCGATTTCTCCCACAGTCCAAAGACATGCGGTACAGGTGAATTGGGTAGGCTAAATTGTCCGTAGTGTGTGTGTGTGGATGTTTCCCAGAGATGGGTTGCAGCTGGAAGGGCATCCGCTGCGTAAAAACATTTTGGATAAGTTGGAGGTTCATTCTGCTGTGGGGACCCCGGATTAATAAAAGGACTAAGCCGACAAGAAAATGAATAATTGAATAAACGTGTATATGCACTGTATGTGTTTATGTAAGCAAGATTATAGCTGGCTTATTTTCCCTGCCCCTGGCTTAGTTATGAATAAAAAGTGTGTTTTTTATTTATTTATTTTTATTTTTTTTTATAATTTAATTTATTATTATTATTTTTTTTATTATTAAATTTTCTACTGCTGTACCCTTTGTTTATTTGTATTTATATATTCTCTGTATTTTTGTTTGGTCTAATTTGTGTTACTTTTATCTATAATATAAATTTTTATATCATCTTATATTATTATTATTATTATTATTATTATTATAAACCTATATGTGTGCGGCAACACAGTGACGCAGAGGTAGTGCTGTCGCCTCACAGAAAGAAGGTCACTGGTTCGAGCCTCGGCAGGGTCAGTTGGTGTTTCTGTGTGGAGTTTGCATGTTCTCCCTGCCTTCGCGTGGGTTTCCTCTGGGTGCTCCGGTTTTCCCCACAATCCAAAGACATGCGGTACAGGTGAATTGGGCTGGCTAAATTGCCTATATTGTATGAGTGTGAATGTGTGTGTTGATGTTTCCCAGAGATGGGTTGCAGCTGGAAGGGCATCTGCTGCTTAAAAATGTGCTGGATAAGTTGGAGGTTCATTCCGCTGTGGCAACCCCAGATTAATAAAGGGACTAAGCCAAAAAGAAAATGAATGAATGAACATATGTATGTGTGTGTATATATATATATATATATATATATATATATATATATATATATATATATATATATATATATATATAATTTATTTTTTTTTATTATTATTATTATTATTTTTTGTTTTTTGTTTTTTTCCCCTAAATGCATGAATATGTAATTGTATTATTTTATTCAGAGAGAAAGAAAATGTGAGCAAATTGTGTTCTACCACCACATTGGAGCAGTTGATGTCTAATGATTCAATGTATCTGATGCTGTGGCTCTCTGACTAATATATTTTAATAATAAACAAAGTTAAACTAAAAATAGTGACATGAATATGAAAATCCGAACACTTTACAGGGCTCGAAATTGCGACCATTTTGGTCGCATATGCGCCCGAAAATTAATCTATGCGACCTCATAATATATCTGGGAGCATTAGTGCGACTGCAGATAATGGTTGTAGTGCGACCTGTTTTGGTTCTTTCTAAAAACGTGCTGAATCGCTCTTCCCTGCCGCTATATTGGTTCATATTAGCTGTCATTCACTCAAGGTATTCCGCTGTCAGATGACAGGGAAGGAGCTTTTATGACCACAGGAAATGCAAACGGCTGAAGAGTAAAAACTTAAAGCACACAAGTTTGAAAACCCCACCTAAAGTTGAGGCGCAGATGAAAGCGATCATGACACGTCACGTGGTGAATAATGATCCGCCAGCTGAGATCAATCGAGTACGCGCTTCTTGGAGAAGGTGCCCGAATCTCCATGCGTCGCATTCACTGCGTGTTCAGCGCAAATGTCCGCTAAAAGTCAAATCTAATACTGCATCATCGCCAAAGAAGCTCGCCTTTACTAAGTTTACACTGAAACTGCGGCTCATAACAAAGACCGGTTTTGCGCCGATGGTTAGCGCAAGAATCTTGCGCTGCCTACTCATTAATTGGGTCGGCTGACTCGCCTGCTTTCCACAAACACAGAAAAATGAAGATCAGCTCAGACTGAACCTTTAAATTGACACAAACTGAAACCAAAACTTTTAAAGAGTGATAGAAGTGAGACTTTACTTACTTTCTTTTGTCTATTCTTTTTTGAGTTGTATATTATTTTTTTATTTATTTACTGATGACTGCTTTACAGCTTTCATCATTGAATTGAATGATTTATTATGATCTTTTGTTTGTTTTGTATCAGAAATATTATTTATTAAATTGACATGCATATAAAAACAGCAGTACAAAATAAATATTTCTTACTGCAATGCTTCATTTTTGTTTGATGCAAACTATACAATTATTTTTCATAAAGTAACAGACTTTTAATAGCAGATAACCTACATTCATGCACATTCAAGGCAGCATCATAATGAGAAATGGAATTCATTGTTACTATTATTGTCATTTTCATCATCATTAATATTCTATGGCCTAATTATTAGACATTCATTTTGGAATTATTGCACACAAATATCAATGTCTTCGCAGCTTTAGTTAGATAGTTGTTTCTGGTTTTTGTTAGTCCTATTAATATTGTTTTAAAATACAATAAATCCCTTAAAAAACAATTTGCAGCTGTGCTCATTCATTTTTGGTGGGTGCTCCTAAATTTTTTTCTGGTGCTCCTAAAAAATTTTTGGTGCTCCTAAATATTTGAAGTTGGGAGCACCGGTGCTACCAAGTAAAAAAGTTAATTTCGAGCCCTGCTTTATAAAGTTCTTATAAAACGATATGTTCATCAATGATTCATCAGTCGGATTATTTCATTCCATCTGATACAAAAGGTGTGCATGTAAAATTTAAAACTATCAAAACAAACAATTAAATGATTCAGTCTGAACCCGAAGTTAAATGTTACAATGCTCTGAAGCAATGCAGAGCAAAAATGCCCTGTGATTCTGCTTTATAGATGAAAAACAGCAAGCTCGGCGCAGCTTCCAGATGTCAGGGAATCCCTGAGAAAAAGCAGTGCAATATATCAGCGTGAAACCCAGAGGGAGGTTTCCACTTCCCCGGACTCAGCAGCTTTCCTCCGCCTGCCAGTTTCTCCATCACTTTCTGTGGGAGCTTTCATTTAATCGACTCTTTGTTGTTGCTGACGTTTCCCTGCGTTTCCCTTCTTCTGGACGTTTGCTTTGTCCATACTAATTGTGCTTTATACAAGAAACATCGTCCTCAGGGAATGTAGTCTTGATTCTCCTACACGTTTAATGTGTGTGTGTGTGTGTGTTGGTCATATCAGACTCGCTTTACTTGGCTGTTCAGTGAGGGAAAAACTCTTTAGCTGTCTACGATAAGCCCGGCTAATAAGCTGTCACTGTGTCTGCACACACTTTCTCCTGCCTTACGTAAAGAAGCTGCACTTAAAGGTTAGTCCGACAAACAGTTCGGGAGGCTATTTAGAGTTCTTTCGACCAAAGCACTAGGAGTAAACACGATGGAAAGATTACTTTATCTGCATGTCATTCACTAAATCCCCTGGTGTAATCTCGGGAATGGAGGCGTAGGATGAAGGGATTAAGTTGTTGAATATCAAGGTTTATCAGTGACCTTTACTTGCATTTGTAAGCCAGTGTGCTTAACCGTCTCTCTTGTTCTTTCTCGACAGGACCTGGGTCTTGAAGGAACGTCCCTCAACGATATTCTCTACAAAAACGCCGCCTTCCTTAATCTTGTGGATCCAATTTCTCATGAGCTTTTGCTCAATTTGGCCAGAGATTTGCAATGTCCCAAGAGGGTAAGTCAGCGACGTTGATCATAACCACGAAACTTGTGCACTGAAAAAACGATTCATTGAATTTACTACATTATTCAAGTTAAAGTCTGCATGAACCGCATACAAATGAAGCATGAGCACACATTGCTTTGCATCTTATAAACGCAGCAGAGCCTTAAAAACACACTCTGGACCAGCCCTTTAAAACTGAAAAGAACCAGGGAGATTGGTTTGCATCAGGGGCAGATCTAAAGGTGGGGCACCGGCCCCCAATTAAATCAGTCTGGCCCCTGTTGTGCCCCTCATATTGCATCATAGATATATACATTAGATGTCGCCTGGCCTATTGTTGTCTATTGGACGGAATGCATCAATAGCGCCGCCATCTTGCTACAGGATAGCGCTCCTTTGAAATGAATGCGGGACCAATGTACAGTGGAGGACTGTGGTCATCCAAAGCCAGAGATATACACATATACACATATTTCTATGATCGGGAGTTTTCCTGGATGTTAGTATGTAATTTTTGTTTTCTAATTACGAAAATTATTATTTTACATCACTTTTCTACATTGATGGATCAGTGACTGCACGGGCATTCCTGACAAAAAGCTTGTGTTTGTGTGTACTGAAATGTACTATCCACCCTCCCTGTTAAATTTGATCTAATCATGTCCTGAAACACAGCTCCTCTCCTGCTTTCACTTCTCATACTGACAGAGGGAGCGATTCGTTTGTGAATGAATCCCCCGAACGACTCTTTCACTAACGTTAGCCGACAATAATACAAGTTTCTGGCAGCGCAGCATCTCGTTGTCATATTTCTTTTGCATTGTTTGCTGATTTTATTAAACGTCTGCATAAATTGGACCCCTCTCTGCCTCCTCCCCCATATAAATATGGTAATGACTCCACGTTGGCAAAACCAAACGACTATATAGTTAACTATATAGTTTGGAAACCTTGTATACCTGCTAGACATGCGGATGATCCTGTCCCATACAGCTGCCATTGCACTGCTCAAAGATGACTTGCTTAACCCTGAGCGGTCTGCCTGTTCACTTTGGAAATAACCAGTTGCCTGGATACTTTGTTGGTGCGATACTTTGTAATGTGCAGTTTAACATAATTGCCTCTAGGAGTCGCCAATGGAAAAAACAAACACACATACGCCAGACATGAAGTTGGCATGGACCAATGCACATTCTTATGTTCATTTCATTGTTAGTAAATCCAAACATAAGCTCGAAGTCTGGCGTACGCAAAGTTTTTGTGCGTACCCAACGTTGACACATGAGGCCCCAGGTCACCTCGGAAGAACGAACTTAGGCGACCTGTATACGTACTGTATGTGTCTATGTAAGCAAGATTATAGCTGGCTTTTTGTCTTATATACCATATAGCTGGTCTCATAGTTGCCTGTAGTTGCAATGACTTGCCTGAATACTTTGTTGGTGCGATACTTTGTAGTGTGCAATTTAATATAATTGCCTCTAGGAGTCGCCAATGGAAAAAAAACACACGGCAGAACGAACTCAGGAGACCTCGAGAACAAAAGAACGAACTCAGGAGACATCGAAAACAGAGAACACGTCCTGTAAGAAATGAGATGCTGCGATTTTCCAGATGGTCACATGACCTTCACATGTTTTTAATGGAAAATAATTTAAAAATTACAGCATTCATACAATGATTTATTGTTTTCCCCCTTCTTAATATATTTAACATGTACAAAAAACTTGCAAATATACTTTGCACAATACAAATAAAACAGATTTTAACCTGATTTTCAGCAAATAAACAACCTTAAACTCTTTATTCCTTTATTGAGAATTTCATGGTAATGTTTACTTTTCAGTTTTATTAATATTAAAAGTTTTTAGCTTCCTAATCAGTAAGTTAAGTTTTGATGCCAAAACCTGATCTTTTAAGTAATGTCAAGTTATATTAATATCATATATTAATATGTTATATTAATATCAACAGCAGGGTTTGCAGTGTGTACCAGCCCTCTGCTTACTGAAAAAAAAGACTCAATGGATTTACTCAATTTTTTAAGATAAGTGGTTGCAAACATTTTACATAGGCCGAATTTAAACAAACAAATTAGGTTGAACATTATTCAAGTTCATTTCTTTGTTTAAATCCAGCTTATATAAATTGTTTGCAAGCACTTACACTTAATAAAATTGAGTAAATGCAATGAGTCATTTTTTTTTAGTGCCTGTTCGAAGAGTTTTGACTATATACCATCCCACTGCTGTCAACATTAGCTGTGCATGTTCATTACTGAGTCTCCAGATATGTAGAGCACTTATTTTTAGCTGGCGGTAAGAGGCTTGGCGGGCCAATTCTCCTGGATAAGACCATGGGCAGCTGTCATCCCACGGCCCGGGACTGCAGTTCGGCCGTTCATGCTTCAACCCTGTCCTAAATTGGTTTGCAAAGCATGAGACATGCAGAAAGATGGCGCTGACCTTTATTTTGCTCAAGAGAGCCATCAGTGATGTTTTCATCCCATGCTGAAATTCCTCAGTTCTGCTTGGACTTAATTGGACAGAAAGGCCAGCGAGAGGAGATCTTTCCAATAATAGATCCACTCGAAGGGGCAAGAGCTGTCTTTTTTTTGGTAAAAGCAAATTAAACCAACAGTTAAACCAATCGGAAAGCATTCCTTCACAGCAGGCGCAGAACATCATAAGACGTTAGTATTAGGTTAGATTTAAGTCATGACCTCAGGTGACCAAAAAGGGCAAAGTTGTTTTGACGTCCAATAACAATGTCAAATTACGTTGATATTTGGTTGGTTTTAGGTTGTGTTGGAAAGTGACCAAAATCCAACATCTGATAGATCCACGCATACACACAATGTCAACGTGTAACATCATTAGACGTTGATATGTGGTTGATTTTAGGTTGTGTTGGAAAGTGACTAAAATCTAACGACAGATAGATCCACATGTCCACACAATGTCAACGTGTAACATTATTAGACGTTGGCATTTGGTTGATTTTAGGTTGTGTTGGAAAGTGACTAAAATCTAAAGTTTGATAGATCCACCGGTCCACACAATGTCGATGTGTAACATTATTAGACGTTGATATTTGGTTGATTTTAGGTTGATTTTAGGTTGTCTTGGAAAGTGACCAAAATTCAACATCTGATAGATCCACACGTCCACACAATGTCAACGTGTAACATCATTAGACGTTGATATTTGGTTGATTTTAGGTTGTGTTGGAAAGTGACTAAAATCTAACGTCTAATAGATCCACATGTCCACACAATGTCAACGTGTAACATTATTAGACGTTAATATTTGGTTGATTTTAGGTTTGTGTTGGAAAGTGACTAAAATCTAACGACTGATAGATCCACACGTCCACACAATGTCAACGTGTAACATTATTAAACGTTGATATTTGGTTGGTTTTAGGTTGTGTTGGAAAGTGACCAAAATTCAACATCTTATAGATCCACACATACACACAATGTCAACGTGTAACATTATTAGACGTTAATATTTGGTTGATATTTAGTTGATTTTAGGTTGTGTTGGAAAGTGACCAAAATCTAACGTCTGATAGATCCACACGTCCACACAATGTCAACGTGTAACATTATTAGACGTTAATATTTGGTTGATTTTAGGTTTGTGTTGGAAAGTGACTAAAATCTAACGTCTAATAGATCCACACGTCCACACAATGTCAACGTGTAACATTATTAGACGTTAATATTTGGTTGATATTTAGTTGATTTTAGGTTGTGTTGGAAAGTGACCAAAATCTAACGTCTGATAGATCCACACGTCCACACAATGTCAACGTGAAACATTATTAGACGTTAATATTTGGTTGATTTTAGGTTGTGTTGGAAAGTGACTAAAATCTAACGACTGATAGATCCACACGTCAACACAATGTCAACGTGTAACATTATTAGATGTTGATATTTGGTTGATTTTAGGTTGTGTCGGAAAGTGACCAGAATCCAACGTCTGAGAGATCCACACGTCCACACAATGTCAATGTGTAACATTATAAGCCGTTTATATTTGGTTGATTTTAGGTTGATTTTGGGTTGTGTTGGAAAGTGACCAGAATTCAACGTCTGATATATGCACAGTGCCACACAACGTCAACGTGTAACATTATTAGCCGTTGACATTTGGTTGATTTTAGGTTGATTTTAGGTTGTGTTGGAAAGTGACCAGAATCCAACGTCTGATAGATCCACACGTCCACACAATGTCAACGTGTAACATCATTAGACGTTAATATTTGGTTGATTTTAGGTCGATTTTGGGTTGTGTTGGAAAGTGACCAGAATCCAACGTCTGATAGATCCACACGTCCACACAATGTCAATGTGTAACATTATTAGACGTTGATATTTGGTTAATTTTAGGTTGGACGTTGGACATTGACGTTGACCCAATGTTGGGTTCTGACGTCAAGCCGATTTTAATTTTCAAACAAATAGTACAACGTCAATATGACGACATGTTTACATCCTGTGCCTGCAGGGTTGTTACACTGGAAAAAGATTATTCATTGGATTTACTTAAGTCTTTTAAGTGTAAGTAATTGCAAACTATTTATAAAGGCTGAATTTAAACAAAGGGTGACGCAGTGGTACAGTAGGAAGTACTGTTGCCTCACAGCAAGAAGGTTGCTGGTTCGAGCCTCGGCTTGGTCAGTTGGCGTTTCTGTAACCATCAGCAATGGTTTGTTCATTTGTCATACTCTGAGAAAATGCTTGATGGTCGCCTAGTTATGTGAGACCCCAGGGGAAAGTCCATTGTTGATGGTCAAGGAATCCATGCACACATGTTTGTCATTTCTGGTCAGAATACCAACACATGAAAATGAGTGCAGTGGCTAGCAGCAGTGAGTAAATTGTACATAAAGAAACAATGTGAGGATGTCGCCAGAGTGGCTTTTTGGTTCCTTTTCTTGTGCATCCCAGCCACTATAACAATTTGTAATGTTCAGCATGTATTTGAATAATAATGGTT